TGTACATACATATATGCATAGAAAAATCAATTAAACTGAAAATTTTCTAAAAAGAAACAAAAACAAGCATTTAGGTTGCATCATTTGCATCTTTAGGATTGAGTTTAGAAGCATTTAGATTGCATTCATGCATTGGGAGCTTACCTAATAAGGAAACACATTCTTAGAACTCGAAATTACACCCTAGCTGATCATAGCAAGTAGCCTAAGCATCTCTTGAAAAGCTTGCATGTTTCGAGCCTTGAAAACTCTTCTTGAAACTTGTTGCTTCTGTGAGATTGACATTTTCCTTTAAACCAACTCCAAATGAACTTAAAGCTGAGTGAACTTAATCTTTCTTGCCTATGGGAACTTGCATACTTGATCATGGGTCATACACATTTGGGTTTTACATATCATTCATACCACTCTTTATAAAACCCAAATGGCACTCCTTACCCTTAAACCCTTACCATTCTTTGCAGCCTAAATCATATTACTTGTGTGAGGTCTCTTTTGATAGCGTGTCATGTGCACAAACTTGAGAGTATTAGGGGCGACATTGGTTGTTCTTATCTCAGGCTAGCTATAGAACCTCTTGAGAACTAGCAATTAGGATGGGAAGTTTGGTAATGTGGTGCAAACAAGTTTATCTTGGGTCTTGGGGTGAGATGATTGAAAATAATGAACCAAAAAAAAGCTTTAGAAACTTCATATAAGAAACCCCTAGACTAAAGAAAATAAAGAAACAAAAGAGTCTAGAAAAGACTTTAGGGGAAGACATAAGAAAAATAAGAGTAGAACTTAAGTAAAAAGAATCTAGAAAAGACTTTGGGGAATACATAAGAAAAATTAGACATGAAGAACACCCATGGTACAAGGTGACAAGCGTCCATTGGTACGAGGTCGCAGTAAACCTGGTCTTTGTAAGAACCACCTACTGAAAACTGGACCAGTGTGCATTTAGTGACCGTAAGTTCGTTTCCTTGATGCAGCCACCCAAGCTTATAAGGTGCTGGATGTGGTTCACTCACGAGATCGAGTTTAGGGACGGCGTCTTCAGCAATGACGTTTTCACTGCTACCAGAATCTATTATGAATTTGCACAACTATCCATTAATCGTGCAGCGAAATGAAAACAAGTTTTTGCGCTGTGGAAATTCTTCGATGATCTTCGGAGTGAGACACGTGCGGCGAACCATTAATAAATAACCTTCATTTGCTTACAATTCTTCTGCAGAATTGTCGGGACTATCATCGTCAATAACTTCAATGTCGCGCCCTATTGTATCTAGGAGTAGACCTTGACGATTACGGGATGGACATGCCGATTGTTTATGTACGAGTTCTCCATAAGTGAAACATCTTAACCCGCTTGGTCGCAGTTGTTTTTGGTTCTCCGTAGGGACAATAGATGTTTTTGGTTTTGTTTGTGAATTATCACTGGAAGTAGAGGTAGCGGTGTGGTCGTTTTGCATGTTTGCCGATTAGAACCCCAAGTCGAGAAGCCGTTGCGAGTTTGGGACTCCACGGTTAGTGCTTGCTGGTGTGCTTCTGAGATGGTCTGAGGGCGAAAGAAGTTTAATGTAAACTGAATTTGTTGTCGAAGCCCTCCAATAAATCTCATGACCAGCTGTTGCTCTGTATCTTGGATTTAAACACGATTGATCATCTTGAAAAATTCGGTGGCATATTCATCAACTGATCTTTGTCATTGTCTCAAGTTTTGTAGTTTTTGGAACATCAATTGCTCATAGTTGTATGGTAGGAAGTTCTTCTTCATCTCTCGTTTCAATTTATCCCATGTCGCAATCTCAGTTTTCCCTAAGCAAGCACGAGTTGTTTTGTTTGTGCCCACCAAGCGGCTGTACGATCTCGGAATCATATTGCAATTAAGGGAAAACATTGATCTAACGGGACTTCTTTGAACTCAATGATTTCTTCAATTGTTACAACCAATCTAACAACTCTTCAGCCACTAGTACCTTTGAATTCCGGAATATCTAGTTTGAAAGACGTTTTCCACGAACGATAATCGTCTTCCACATCCGAGTCAGAGTTGTGTTGACGGTTGTTGTAACGTCGAAGTGGTGCAAACGGATTGTCGTCCTCGTCTGACTCGTTGTGGAGCGAGACCTTATCCGTATGACGATAGCGAGGTGAAGTGCGGCGTTGACAGGGCGAGTCGTATCGGCGGTGACGGCGAGGTGAAGTATTGGGTTGTGGCGAGGCGAGTTGGCGTTTTGTTGTTGTTGTTGTTGTTGGTTTGTCAAAGCTGTGACGAGATTATGAACTAGGACTTGAAGGTCGGTTACGGATTGTTGAGTTGCGGGGTTTGTCTTTGGCTGGTGCCTGAGAACGAGTTTTTCAAACCATCGTAGAGGTTGAGAAAGTTTCGGAACATAGGAAAGCTTTGATACCAACCTGGCGCAGCATACGAATGGGTGAACGGTCGATCTAAGAGTTTAGAGCTCTTCGAGATCTGTTCTTGGATCGATCAAGAGTTACTTGCGTTAGCTTCTTGAGACCAACTTCTTATTTGGATGAATTGAATCAAATCGAAATAAGGTATAAAGCAAAAGCTTTTCTTTATTAAATCAAACGTATCAAATAACAAAGCTGAAACTCTGTTTATATAGTTCTTCCTTTAGACATTCCTAATAGGAAAAAGGATTCTATAAACTCTATCGTAAAAGGAAATAACAAAAAGGAAACATAAAACCCTAAATCGATAATGTTAAGGAAATATTTAAACTTGTGAAGTTGGCGCTAAAGTAGTGGATGATGCTACATCACCATGCTTCATAGAACCGGTCAAAAACCTCACGCCGGGATCCGTCTAGATGTTGTAAGTTATATTTTAAAAATTTAACTTATTTTAAAAATTTTATTTAATAAATAAGTTAAATTTGTTGTTGTTGTTGTTGTTGGTTTGTCAAAGCTGTGACGAGATTATGAACTAGGGCTTGAAGGTCGGTTACGGATTGTTGAGTTGCGGGGTTTGTCTTCGGCTGGTGCCTGAGAACGAGTTTTTCAAACCATCGTAGAGGTTGAGAAAGTTTCGGAACATAGGAAAGCTTTGATACCAACCTGGCGCAGCATACGAATGGGTGAACGGTCGATCCAAGAGTTTAGGGCTCTTCGAGATCTGTTCTTGGATCGATCAAGAGTTACTTGCGTTAGCTTCTTGAGACCAACTTCTTATTTGGATGAATTGAATCAAATCAAACGTATCAAATAACAAAGCTGAAACTCTGTTTATATAGTTCTTCCTTTAGACATTCCTAATAGGAAAAAGGATTCTATAAACTCTACGTAAAAGTAAATAACAAAAAGGAAACATAAAACCCTAAATCGATAATGTTAAGGAAATATTTAAACTTGTGAAGTTGGTGCTAAAGTAGTGGATGATGCTACATCACCATGCTTCATAGAACCGGTCAAAAACCTCACGCCGGGATCCGTCTAGATGTCGTAAGTTATATTTTAAAAATTTAACTTATTTTTTAAATTTTATTTATTAACTAAACTTAAAAAAAAAATTATTTTTGTTTGTAGGCCGAGAAGACCGGACTCTTGCTATCTCTGACATAACTATTTAGTATCCACGGTCCGAGAAACTATATAACGATGTGGTTTCTCGGGTTGAGCAGCGGGAGATACAACTAACCCCAGGCTCCCGATGGATTACCCGTCACATTGTCTACAGAAGAAGTCGACCAGATTTTTGAAGAGGTAAACTTTTCAAATAGATTTTAATTCATTTATATTAATTCTTTTATATATATAATTAATACAATTATATATTAATGTATTATATTTTTCTTAAAAGATGTGGCTCCTAGAAAGAAGGCATGGACAATGGGAATATGATCAGTCAACGAAGTCCAAAGGGCGACTTCGTTATACACTTTGTTATAACTTCCAGATGCGGGCTCGCATGGACTCACAGCAGAAGCGTTTGGACTCACTTGAAGATCTGGTTGACATTATGGCTACCGGGAACCCGGTTATGCAGAGAGCATTGAATGAAAGACGAGTGGCTCTCCGAATGTATCAACATCCTCCCGAGTCAACCGGTCAAACCGGCCCATAACCAACCCGTCCCAACAAGTACTTCGGCAACGATATGCCGTAGTTTCTCTTTATTTTTTCGTTTTGTATTATAAATTTATATATTATTCTATGAACATTTATATTATGGCTTTTAAAACAATTAAATTGTTTAAATCTTTCGTTTGATAATTTAAATTACAAATTTTGTAAATATAAAAAATATAAAAAGTATAGAATATATCAATACTAAGTAAATTCCTCGTAAATTCTACAACGTGTTAACATAGAAATCCTAATAAATTCCTCGTAAAGTTTACAACGAGTTTACATAGAAGTTTTAGTAAATTCCTTGTAAAGTTACAACGAGTTAACAAGGAAAGTTTACTATCACTTTACGAGGAAAAAGAACGAGGATGTTACAACAAATTGTAACATGGACTTTACGACGAAGCCCTTCCTTTGTCGTTTACAATGATAATCACTCCTCGTAATGTTACGACGAATAGTTCATTACGATTTCTTTGTTAATTCGTCGTAAATGTCTTATTACAACGAATTAACAAGGAAAATAGTCTTGATAAAAAAATATGTTTCTTGAGTGAGAATAAAACCATAAATAGTTTTATAGGTATATGTAAAGAGTATAAAATCAACAGTAATATGTATAAACTATAGATTATTGATATTTGAAATATTGACTTAAATTTGGGGTTATTTGTTAGTTTATGCAATACATTAGCTAGTTCTGAGCGTAGAATGAATAAATTTTGCTATATATAACGCCAATGGATATCCCTCTTTGTATAATAAGAAAAAGAAAATGGTGCAGCTCACGCCCGTTTCAGGCCGGTGGCTTTGTTTATTACCTTACCACTCCAAAACATGAACTCCATTATAACCCAATTGAAGTCCCCCTTAAATACATCATAATCAACTATCACTTTTTGTTGCACATACAAGAAAAAATGCTGCTGAGTCTTCGATCAAAGAGCCGTAAAGACAATGGAGTGCTCGTTGAGTATCTAATCTCAATCAAGGAGCTAAAGCCATGGCCAACGAACCAAGTCCCTGCACAATGCGTCCTACTCAAATGGCAAAACGGAGAAAACAACTCAGGCTCATTCATCGCGGTGGTGGGCAAAGACACGATTATGTTCAACGAGTCATTCAGGTTAACCCTAACCCTAGATCCCAAAGGTGGGGCCGAAAACAAGTTTCAGAAGAATCTTCTTGAGTTTCATGTTTATGACGCCAAGAAGAAAGACAAGGGCGTCAAGAACAAGCTTCTTGGCTCGGCCGTGGTCAACCTCGCTGAGTACGGAGTGTTGACCAATTATGTACCCGTTGGAGCTCCGTTTACTTTCAAGAAGAGCTCGAGGAACGATGCCAACTCTGAGATTTACCTAACCATTGAGCCGGCGGGAGAGGATGACGATGAAGGTTATAGGAGTAGCTGTTCTTCGTCGCAGCCAAAAATGAAAGGATCTGTGGATAAAGAAGGTAGTGAGTTTAGTTTGGCCTCGTTGACGGACGACGATGATGATGCTTCGTCGCAGTGTTCGTCTTCACGGAGGGTTTCTATCTCAGCTATGTCTGATGCTAATCCCCCGGTACGCATTTCATTTTTTTTTTTTTAGTCTTTTGATTATGTGTTTGGAATTGGATTTGAGTACGCACGTCTATGCTCTATGTTCTTTAACTATTCTTTCGACTGATGAATATATTTATTATTTTTTAAAAAAGAATATCTAATTTTTTCCTTGTAAATAAAACAGAAAGTGCTCATATAAGAGCTTGCGAAGACAAGTATAACAACGAGTTTTAGGGATAAACCTAAGGGGAAAATAGCATAAAAAACCTTTAGAGTGACATTTAGTAATACTTTAAACCTTAAACGTATTTAACTATCATATTAAACCTTTAACTTGACTTTTGTATCACAACGGACCTTCTACTTGGTTTACTTATTAGTCAAGTTAAAATTGTGACTTGTTAACCTGCAATAGTATGTTACATATTATTATTATTTTTTAATTAATAAATGCAATTAACAATAAATAACAATAAAAACTAAATAAAATTAGAAAGTTACAGAAAAGAATTCTAAAATTGAATTTCATAAAAATAAAAATATTTTCTTAAAATTTGAAGTTTTTTAAAATGTAACTATTTAAAAATATACTTTAAAAAAATACAGAAAAGTCAAAAATCTTAATTTTAAAAATAAAATATTTTCTTAAGAATTTACAAGTAGTTTTTTATTTTTTTTCTAAAGCGTTTAATTTTGATATGTTGATATCTTTAAAGATGATAATTTCTGATATACATATAACAAGGATTTTTGACACTATTACCATTATCGATATAACCAAAAATGTTACTGTTAATAATGATGTGATAAAGAGTGTTCATGTTAATGGTCATAATGTTTAAAATTATTTAGTTTTTGTGAGAATATTTTGTAGCTTTCATATGATTTTTTTAAAAATGTTATTTTGCAAGATATAAAATATTTGTGAGATAAAAAGATATATAGATAAAAGATTTTTTTTTCTTTCATATGAAAGCTATAAAAATAAAAACACTCGTAAATTCTTACAAAAATATTTTGATTTTTAAAAAATAAGATTTTTGATTTTTTCTGTATTTACAAAATATTTTTTTTTTTAAAACATTACATTTAAAAAATTGAAATTTTAAGAATTATTTTTTATTTTTTATGAAATTCAATTTTAGAATTTTTTTCTGTAACCTCTTAATTTTATTTTAGTTTTTTATTCTTCTTTATTGTACTAATTAAATAAAATTGGAAAAATCAACATGTAACCTACTATTGCAGGTTAACAAATCACAATTTTAACTTGGTGAATGAGTAAGCTAAGTCGAAGGTTTGTTGTGATACAAAAGCCAAGTTAAAAGTTTAATATGTTAGTTGAATACGTTCAAGGTTTAAAGTGATAGTGAATGCCAACTTCAAAGTTTTTTATGCTATTTTCTCCCTAAACATAAGTGCATGTATATACAAATAAAGGACTTCTCCGTATAAATATAAGTGCATGTATATATAAATATTAATACATAATTGAGAGTAAGATATTTTGGGTGGGTTCTCATGATTTTGAGATACTTAAAACTATATAACTAGTTGTTTTATCCGCACATAAGGGCATAATTTTCTTACAAATACTTATTAGTTTATATTTTATTAATTAAAAACAACATAATAACTTATGATTTATGTTTTTAAAATTATATATAAATGACAACATTCATATAGCAGAATATTTTTTAAAATATATTTATACAAATATTTTGCTTGATTTATATTTATTTATAATTTTTATATCTTTTTTTCGTTTCTGTAAAAGAAAAATATGTTTTCAAGGTAACAATATAATCTATATATAAGAAGTATCTTATTTTCTAAAGAATATAATGTTATCAATAGAACTTCGTTTTTATTATATTATAAATTATATATGAAATTATTAAAAACATGATAAATAGGTAAAACTACCTAAATCATGGAAATTTATAAATCAGCAAATTCCCTTAATTTTTTTATAATAGAAAATATACTTTCAAGATAACAATATAATACGTAAGATTTATCTTATTTTCTGAAAATATAATACTATTAATATAAATTCATTTTATTATACAATCAACTATATATATTATTAAAAAGTGACAAATAAACCAAATTACCAAAATCAAGGAGAAGTTAACAAATCAACAATGCTTGATTTATATTTAATTAGTACTCCCTCCGTTTCAGAATATTTGTCATTCTAAGCTTAATTTTTTTTGTCACAAATTAAGTGTCGTTTTAGAGTTTCGATCCACAATTTATTAGTTTTATATAATATTCTATTTTTCTATTTGTTGAAAAGTGCTTAGATGTATAGGTAATTTTGTTTTTATCTTGAAAATATGTAAAATTAAATGTTTCATTAATCTGTATGCAAAAGTCTAGAATGACAAATAAAGAGAAACGGAGGAAGTATAACTTTTATATCTTGTTTTTTAATTTTTAGAATAAAAATATTTTTTCAAGATAAAAATATAATACATAAGAACTATCTTATTTTAAAATAATAATTTTATTAATATAATATGTTTTATTATATAATAAATTATATATGAAATTATTAAAAATATGATAAAATAAACAAAATTACCTAAAATATGGAGAAGTTGACAACTAAGCAAATTTACTTCTCAAATAATAATATAAATTTATAGTATTTCATAATTTAGTGTCCTTCGAGAACTTCTATTAGATACTTCTATTAATACGTAGTGTTTTTTTTTAATGCAACAAATTTCAATACTAAAAAGGATTGAATGTCTATTTATGCCACGCTCAACTTGAGAACATCATTAACCCCAAATTTCTTAGCACAAGTTTTTAGGAATGTTTTTTTTGTCTGAAAAAAATAAAGTAAACCAATCGCGGGCCGGCACGTGTCGATAGGGTCCGTGAATAGTAAAGAACCAAGCCTAAAAACACCTCTTATAAAAGAGGTAAAAGAGGCAGATCTTGTGATTTAAGTGGGACCCACGATATTTTTAATAATTGTTTTGGCTAACATCCATTGCATTGAGGGTGTTCTGAGATTAAAAGGCTTTTTGGGCTGTTTATTTCATCATCTGTCATCTCCATCTATTTACATGATTCATCCAAATGATCTATCCAGGTATTATTGACATTGTTTGCTTGTCAATCAAGATGAATCATGAATCATCTAAATGAACTTATGTTTATTTCCTTATTTCCATCCCCATCTTGATGAGTTTAGTAAATAAATTAGATTTAATTATATTATATTTGTGTCTCATTATAATATTTTTTATTAATTATCTATATATAATTTTTTTAAAATATGATTCTGGTGGGAAATAGAATTTTATGATTTTATGGTTTTAGCGAGAAAACACCTTTTTCGATTTTGGCAGGAAAATACATTTTTACGATTATTGCGGGAAAATACATTTTTGCGCTTTAGACAAGAAAACACTTTTTCTATTTTGGAAGAAAGCGCATTTTTGCGGTTTTGGAGAGAAAATACATTTTTTCGGTTTTGGCGGAAATATATGTTTTTTGCAATTTTTCGGAAATTTTTTTTTTGCGGTTTTGATAGAAAAACACGTTTTACGGTTAGAATGGAAAAATATATCTTGTGTTTTACGAGAAAACGCATTTTAATGTTTTTGGCAGGAAAATGCGTTTTTGCGATTTTGGTAGGAAAATGCGTTTTTGCGATTTTGGCAGGAAAATGCGTATTTGTGGTTTTGGCGGGAGAGCGCATTTTTGCGGTTTTGGTGGAAAAATGTATTTTTGACGGGAAAATATGTTTTGCGGTTTTGGCAAAAAATAAGTTGTTACGGTTTTGACGAGAAAAATATATTTTGCGTTTTGGCTGAAAAATACATTTTGTGGTTTTAGCGGGAAAATATGTTTTTTTTTTATGGTAATGAGAAAAATGTGGTTTTATTATTTTTTGTGAGTGACAAATTGCAGATTTATTTTTGTTATTCGTGAATTATATAAAAGGTATAATAGACATTATACTATTTTATACTCTTTTGATATAATCATCTTCTTCGAGATGGTCCAAATTGGTTGAGGTGGAAGAAATTTTAAATTAAAACTATAATTTCAAAACTTATCTTAGTCAAAAAGAAAAATTCAATGCTGTATAGCAATTTCTTACTTTTTCTTTTTTACTTTTATTTTTGTGATAGAACTATCAAGAAGTAATTAAAGTAGAAAAGTTGAGTGTCATTTGTGCAGAACACAGAGGCAGAGATAAGCGGAGATGAGAAGAAAAGTTGGAAACATGTAACGCTTAAGCACAGTCCCAACGAGGCAGCACTCGTGTCCGAGATCGAGAATCTACTGAGAGAAGAAGAGAGAAAGAGACAGAGCAATGAATTAGTGGTTGTGAGCTCAGAGACTGATCAAAAACACAATAATGGTACAAATGCCTTTAAGCTCAAGAAACAACTCTCTGATATCAGATCTGCTTCTTCTCTTTTACCTCCAGATGCAGCTAGAAAACAGATGAAACTTCGGACAAATACTCTTACATTAGGAAGAAAGACTCTAGGAATGGAAGGTGTTCCAAGACTTAAACAACTCAAATCCATTCAGATGCTTTTCGATGGAAGCGGAAATAATACAAACAATGATGATAATCGGAAAAAAATTGGTGGAGTAATCAACAAGTTAGGTCTAACAACTCCACAGGAGTCTAAAACAGAGACGCTTGAAGATGAGCTGAAGGAAGCAGCTGCTCTTGAAGCAGCTGTTTACTCTGTGGCCGCTGAGCATTGTAGCTCTATGAGCAAGGTTCATGCTCCAGCTCGTCGTCTTGCTAGGTTTTATCTTCATGCTTGTAAAGGAAATGGTTCAGATCATTCTAAGCGAGCTAGTGCAGCTAGAGCTGCGGTTTCTGGATTGATAATAGTTTCTAAAGCATGTGGAAATGATGTTCCAAGGTATATACATAACCAAATCAATTTGGTTTTGTTCAGTCAATAAGTTTCTAATGTATATTTTACCAAAACAAAGTTTCTAATTTTTTTGTTTCTATAAATATATTATCCACAGGTTAACCTTTTGGCTATCAAATTCGACTGTTCTAAGAGCAATTTTAAGCCATGGTATTCTGAACCTGGTTTCCATTAAACCCGGTTCAGATGAATGGGAAGATCCTCAAGCATTTCTTGCGGCTTTGGAGAAGTTCGAGTATTGGATATTCTCTCGAATTGTTAAATCAGTATGGTGGCAGGTAATATAAAAGGATTTTTTTTTCTTTTCCAAATGGGGTTTGTAGAAGAGTTCTCATTAAACTTTTACTTCGAAATGATCATCATATTGCAGAGTATGACGCCGTATATGCAATCAGCAGCGGTTAAAGGATCGATCTCAAGGAAAGTTTCAGGGAAAAGACGGTTAGGTCATAAAAACCAGGGACTATATGCTATAGATCTATGGAAGAATGCTTTTAAAGCTGCTTGTGAAAGACTTTGCCCACTAAGAGGTTCAAGAAAAGAGTGTGGCTGTCTACCTATGCTTGCTAAACTGGTATGAAACTAGCTTTCAGTTCGATTTTTTAATTATTATTAGGTTAAAAATTGCTTTTGTTGTCAGGTTATGGAGCAATTAATTAGTAGACTTGATGTAGCAATGTTCAACGCGATACTTCGTGAGTCAGCAGGTGAAATGCCCACAGATCCTGTCTCTGATCCGATCAGTGACATTAATGTTCTTCCAATTCCAGCAGGAAAAGCTAGTTTTGGGGCAGGTGCTCAGCTAAAAAATGCGGTAACTTGAGCTCAGATGAACAATATTCACAACATAAGAAAACATTACTTTAATGTATTTGCCTTTGCAGATTGGAACTTGGTCTAGATGGCTTGAGGATCAATTCGAGCAGGAAGAGAAATCTGATAGCTATAACAAGAAGTCTGAAAATTTCAGATTGTTCCATCTACTCAACTCGTTAGGCGATCTAATGATGCTTCCATTCAAAATGCTAGCAGACAAATCCACAAGAAGAGAGGTAACAGAAATACTCAATAATCATTCTTCTCTAACACTTTTGACTAATTTTTACTAATTTTTACTTATTGTTCCTGTCTGAAGGTTTGTCCAACAATTGGTCCACCAATAATAAAGAGATTTCTTCGAAACTTCGTTCCAGATGAGTTTAACCCGCACAGAATCCCTAAAAGGCTATTTGATGTCTTAAATTCCGAGGTTTGAAAAACTGCCTTCACATTATGATAACCTGAGAGTTTGCGTATGTTTTTGACCCTTTTATCTCCAACTCAGGGGTTAACAGAGGAAGATAATGGATGCATCATAGTCTTCCCTTGCGCTGCATCACCTACAGTCTACTTAATGCCGTCTACAGAATCAATAAGACGCTTCATAGGAGAGTTGAACAATCCTTCTTTATCTGAAACCGGATCATCGGTATATATGAAACAATACACAAGTGATGATGAGTTGGATGACTTGGATGCATCCATTAAGTCTATAATCTCTGCTCCTGAAACAACCAGTACATCAGAGTGGATGCCGAAAGGATATGGACGCAGCAAGACTGTAAGATATCAGCTCCTTAGAGAAATATGGAAAGAAGATGAACTACAGTGACGACTCTTCCTCCTTTTGTCTGGCTATATATGTTATGCTGAAAAAAAATTATCTTGCTTTCTTGGTGATATGTATGAAAGGGTACTTAGAGCAGCCGCAACGCGGTGGCTTAACGCGTAGCTTAAGGGATTTTTTTTATTTTAAAATAAATGTTAATGGCATAATTATTGAAAAACCGTGGCTTAATTTGGGACAGAAGAAACGTTGTTTACTGTACATGTGTTGGATGATGAGAAGAGAGAGTAGAGGTGGCTTTGGATTCTTCGTCTTCTTTCTTCATTCTGTCTCGTTTCTTTCTCTCTCTCAGACGAAAAAGGCGATGGTCTCTGTTTCCTCGACGAACGGTGATTCTCTCCTTCTCCGTGGGTCTCTTCGACGCCGGTGCCTGTCTACGGCTGATTCTCTCCTGCTCCGTGGGTCTCTTCGACGCCGACAGAAATATCTCATCGCATCGACAGGTAAAGAGGCATAGTTGTGTTCTTCTGAATGCATGTCTTAGATTATGGTTGGTCTTGTTCTGATGGGTACTTTGTTTTGTTTCTCGGCTCTACTCGACGGCGACGGAGCTCTGTCTTGGCGGCTCTCTTCCAATCCAAAGGTAAAAGTTCTGGTTTCCGATCATGCATGTCTTGGATTGTGATTGTTCTGCCTCTAGATTGATTTCTTTGTTGAGTTGGAGTCTGATTGTGAATGGATTTGATAGTAAATGGATTTGATGGTAGATCGATTTATTTGTTGTGTTGTATTCAGTTTGATTTTGGTTTGACTAATTCGTTTTGTTTGTGTCTTTGTCGTGAGATGTATGGATCAAACGAAGAAGATGGAGTTGTTTTTCACCGAGAGACATGAAGGTGTTCATTCGTGTAAACATGTTAGTTTTTAGATTTAGCTTCTGTTACTCTTTCAGTGTTTCGTGATGAAGTAAATTGAAATAGCTTCTGTAAAATGAATTGATTTAGATTTAGTTTTTAGAAATGATTTAGCTTTGGTTAATCATGAGTTGTTTGTGCTGAAGTAAACTGAAATGACTAATTCGTTTTATGAAATGAATTGATTTAGATTTAGTTTTTAGAAATGATTTAGCTTTGGTTAATCATGAGTTGATAAATAAGCCGAAGTAAACTGAAACGAATTACTTTAGCTTCTGTTAATTTAGTAAACTGAGCACGATTTGTATGCATTGAATGCGTTATGGTTGAGTTTGGTTGGTAATGTATTGATTTAATTGTCTCTGTGGAAATGAAAAAGAAGTTGTTGAGCGGATAATAACTGAGCGTGCTTTGTGGTTGAGTGAAATGAGTAAGTTGAGTGAAATGAGTAAATTGAGTTAAATAAGTGGTTGAGTTAAATGAAAACAAGTGCTTGCTTTATGTTTAATTCGAGGTAGCTATGGTCTGATCACCAATTTGGTTGTTGGTAGTTGGTTTTAGTGTTAATGCGAGTCTTCATTTTCTTCTTTAAAACTCTTTTTTTCTCTTTCAATTTAAACAGATTCCTATCTGTTTTTTTCTGTCTTGTTTAAAACTCTTCTTATCTCTTCCAGCTTAAACAGATTTCTATCTGTTTTTTCTGTCTTCTTTGACTTAGAAAAATGGATTTCAATCCATATAGTGATTCTGGTAACTTTGTTGACTTACTTACTAGTCAACAAAGTGTTGTGTTCGGTAACGTAGCAGATAGTGCTTCACAATCTCAATCGCAAGCTCCCCCCTTAGGTGAAAACCCTGAAGCCATTCGTAAAGAAAGAAGAACATGGACCCAAACTGACGATATAGTACTCATCAGCGCGTGGTTAAACACAAGCAAAGATGCAGTCGTCGGAAATGAACAAAAGTCTGTTGCCTTCTGGGCTCGAGTTGCTGCCCCAAGCGTGCTGGGTGTGAGCAGAGAGGCCCACCTCACTATAAGAATCGCTGGCACAAGATCAATGAGGTAGTTTGTAAGTTTTGTGGCGCTTATGCAGCTGCAAACAGAGCGAGAACCAGTGGGCAAAATGACAACAATATTCTCGAAGAAGCCCACAGTATATTTCTCGGAACCTACAAAAAAAATTTCAAACTTGAGTATGCTTGGCGGGAGTTGCGACATGAGCAGAAGTGGAGTGAGCAGTCTGAAGCTAAATCTGCATCCAAAAAGAGGAAGTGTGGGGAGAGTGAAGCTTCAGCAAGCTCTCACGCTAACACTGGTGTAGATGAGGAGGTAACCACTCGCCCCATGGGTGTTAAGGCTGCAAAAGCCCGAGGTAAGAAGCCGGTTGCGGAGGGGGATGCACTGAAACAGTTTCAGAATTTGTGGGATATTAAAAAGGAGGAAATGGCCATGAAAGAGAGGGTGTCCAAAATAAGTTTGCTCGAGTCATTGGTAGCCAGAAAAGACGGTTTAGATGATGAAGAAGCGGCTCTGAAGAAAAAACTTATGAAAGAATTGTTCTAATGTTTAGATGTTTCTCTGTTGTTTGAAATTTCTCTGTTGTTGCATGATTAATGTTATGTTGTCTGAATTTTTTCTCTGTTTTAATTGTTTCCATGTTGTTTGAATTTTCTTGTTTAATATTATGTCTTCTTTAATATTATGTCTTATTTAATATTATGTCTTGTTTAATGAAAACATAATGCTGAATGTTCTATCTCCAGGTGATGAAGAAGAAGGTTGAATATGGGTGTGGGTGCACTTCTTACCATCAGAGCCACGTACCATGTTCTGTTAGCAACGAACAGAAAACGTGCCACTGATAGTAATTAGTGTTCCCAAACCGTTATTAAGATTCAAGCTTTGAGAGACACATCTGATGATACTTTGTTCCCGTGATGGATTTGATTTTATTGGTAAGATGTATGTGGTCTATTGCTTTCTTTGTTTTGTTGGGTCTGATGGTCTCTTTGCTTTGTTATAGGTGTCTCCCTGACACAACAGGACATGCTCTCGTGATGCTCTCCTTGCTTCACTCCGTGACAGAACAAGACATGCTCTCGTGACGCAACAGGACTGCACAAGATGATGGTCTTTTTGCTTTGTTTTTTCTGTTTCGCCAATTGCTTTTCTTTGTACCAACCATTGTAACAACTTATTAAAATGTTTCACGTTTGTTTTTCAACTTGTACCAACTTATGTAAAGATCTGGTGCAGTCTATATAAACTCTCATTCTCATAGTTCATAGTATTCAAACAATTTCATCTTCTCAAGCAAAATTCCTATTATCACTCTCATATTTCACCAATCAAACCGCAAACTACAAAATAAACAATGGCATCGTCTTCTCATGATGATAATTTAGATCAATATTTTGATGATTTTTTTGATCAACTGTTCGATCAAATGTTTGAGGCTTTAACCATTGCTTATGGTGAGCAAGAAGCAAGAAAAAAAAGAAACAAACGACTTTATATCGAAAGAAATCGAGAGGAAGGTAATGTACGCTTATGGAATGATTATTTTAGCGAAACTTCGACGTATCCACACAATATTTTCCGACGCCGTTTCAGAATGAACAAGCAATTGTTCATGCACATTGCCGATCAACTCTCCAACGAAGTTCCATTTTTTGCCCAAAAGAGAGATGGTCTCGGAAGGCTTGGTCTCTCTACACTCCAAAAATGTACAGCAGCTATTCGTGTCTTGGCATATGGTACTGCGGCAGATACGGTCGACGAATACCTACGTCTCGCTGAATCCACAACTCGATTATGTCTGGAAAATTTTGTGGAAGGAATAATATATTTATTCGGAGACGAGTACCTGAGACGACCAACACCGGCTGACCTTCAACGTCTACTTGATATTGGCGAGCATCGTGGCTTTCCCGGGATGATAGGAAGCATCGATTGTATGCATTGGGAGTGGAAGAATTGTCCCACAACTTGGAAAGGACAATATTCACGTGGTTCGGGTAAACCAACAATCGTTTTAGAGGCGGTCGCTTCATATGATCTTTGGATATGGCACGCGTTTTTTGGAGCTCCAGGTACTTTAAACGATATCAATGTTCTTCACCGCTCACCTGTTTTTGATGACATAATAAATGGTGAAGCTCCGCAAGCGACTTACTATGTTAATGGACGAGAGTATCATTTGGATTACTATCTCACGATGGTATTTATCCGAAATGGGCAACTTTTATCCAATCTATTTCATTGCCACAAGTACCGAAAGATGTTTTATTTGCTCAACGTCAAGAAGCTGTCCGAAAAGATGTCGAGCGTGCTTTTGGAGTCTTGCAAGCTCGTTTTGCAATTGTTAAAAATCCAGCACTTTTTTGGGATAAAGTCAAGATTGGGAAGATTATGAAAGCATGTATCATACTCCATAATATGATAGTAGAAGACGAACGAGATGGATACACTCAATTCGATGTTTCAGAGTTCCAACACGGAGAAGACACCGGAAGTTCACATGTGAATCCCGCGTATTCTACAAATATCCCTTCAAATATCGCTAATATGATGGCTGCTCGAACTACAATTCATGATAAACAGATGCATCAACAACTAAAAAATGATTTGGTTGAACATGTATGGCTTCAATTTGGACGTGATCAAGACGACAACTGAACTCCGATGCTGCTTCCAAATTATTATCGTTTATTTTACTAAGCTTTGTTTTATGTTTTTTAAAAAAATCTTATGGTTAAAATGTAATCTTTTAGTATGTTTTATTTAATCAAATAATTCTAAGTTTTTTTTAAATATGTTTAATTCTTTCAATTTTTTAAGAACCCTAAAATAAGAGCCTTGCATTGCACTTATTAAATCTATGGGTTGCTTATTAGGATGGCTTAAATCACTTTTTCTATTAAAAACCATTAGAAAATAAATAAGCCACCCTAATAAGCAATCTTGCATTAAAGATGCTCTTATGTTTTGTTTCAATTCCAAGCTCTAAAGTATTTTGTAAGAGAAGGACCATTTGTTAACTTTTACCAATTAGACAACACTTGTACTTTGATGGAAGGCTTTTCAAGAAAACATTTATTATGAACAAGGATCATAAACATTTGTAAGTA